TATCTATATCTATATCTATATCTATATCTATATAAAACCAAAACCAAACTCACTGCCATTGAGTTGATTCTGACTCAGAGCAACCCCTCCTTGCCTTTCCAAGGAGGTATCTTTATGGAAGTAGATTGCTCAGTCTTCCTTCCAAGGACTGACTGGTGGGTTTGAAACTGCCAGCCTTTTGGTTAGCAGTCAAATGCCTTATACAAAGCCCCATTTTTAAAGGAAAAATGGAGGTTCAAACCCACCATATTTTAAGGAAAGGACCAAAATTAAGGATCAGGTAGGAAGTGGCAAAGGAGCTCTGGTGGTGCAGGGGTTAAACGCTCAGCTGCTAACCAAAAGGTTGATGGTTTGGATCCACAAGCTGTTCCACAGCAGAAAGATGTGGCAGTCTTCTTCCACAAAGATTTACAGCCTTGGAAACTTTATGGGACAGTTCTACCTTGTCCTATAGGGTCTCTATGACTCAGTGGCAATGGGGATAGGAAATGGTAGAAATATTTTGTAGACACTGTATTTAAGAGACAGGCAATAATTAGGATACATGAACACACACATATGTACTCTATAGCTCTTTATTTATAGAACAAAATGTGTCACATTCAAATCTGACTTTCCTTGGTTAAAGATGCATAACCTTTTCAGAAGTACATTAAGAATGAGCTGTTTAACCAGTTGTCACAAAATTACTGTGCTCAGTCACTGGTGAGACTGTAACCCACATAAAAGTTGGGGTACATCTCAAGAGTGCAAACAGTAAAACTGAGTAAAGTCAATATGTGACCCTACTTAGAAATATAGCTGACCAATAAAGTACTATTTTGATAAATATAAAAACAGTAATCAGAATCAACATGTCAGCTAGAGTCTCAGATTCTGACATTATCTTAAACTTTTCAATTACCTTGACCCTGGACGATGGTGAAGAAATAAGCAATTGTTAAAAAAGTTGGAAGCAGCCAGTACCACATGTTGGACTGAAAAATCTTCATTTTATTTCCTGCTTTTCACATGGGGTATAGCTGCAAATCTGAAAACACAAAGCATAGGACATTTTCAGAAGGTTGAAAATACAGCATATGGAGTATTTAGGACAGGAAAATAGGCCAAAATACATTGAGTATTGTCAGGAAGTAATTAATCTCCTAAAACACTGTATATTTTACTATAACCTACAGATTGATAAAAGAAAGATTTTTGCCATATAGGATGAAGACGATTTGAGAAATATCTGGGAAAGAAGTTCAGAATGGACTTTGGGACCCCTTTATCAGGACACAAATTGCACAAGGAATTTCTCAAATGAAGAAATTCCAAAATTTTACTTGGAATGAGCATTATAATCAGACAATCACAATTTTCTTGCCAGTAATGTACTCCTGGGGTGCTAAGCGGCACAAGTAGTTAAGTGCTTGACTATTCACGGAAAGGTTGGCAGTTTGAACCTACCCAGGAGCTCTGGTAGCATAGTGGCTAAGGCACTTGACTGCTAACCAGAAGGCTGGCGGTTCAA